TTTCGACGAATAGTTTTTAGCTGGATGCATAACAACATGGTGTGCAAAAAGCGAAATGAAACAAAAAGAATATCGTAAATACAACCTGTTTCGAAAATCCAACGGTCTAATATAGTTAAGGGTGTGGAATGTAGTGGCAACGATTAGTTTTATCTTTGACGAATAGTTTAGTGGCAACAATTAATATTTTTTTAGGGGGGGGGGATACGTTGATTCGATTCGTTTTAATGGAGAACAAATTATTATCTTTAATTGGAAAATTTTGCATTTGGCATTCTATTTTTAGTTTAAAAATAAAAATGTGTTGCTATTTTGAAAATCAAGAAAGTGGACATGCATGTATATTGTGATAACTTTTTACTTCCTATTCATTTGACAGCTAGCAACACAAGTACACAACACAAGTTTTCTTACAGGACGTTTCACATTTCACAAAGAACAAAACTACAAACTATCTATAGATTAGTTAAAATCCTTATTATCATTTATTAAATTAAATATTGAATTACATAAAGATGATTTGTGTTCTATATTTATCTTCAAAGTATCAAACTTTTTTTATGTCCATATTTTTTTCTATCAAATAATATGCAACCATATATTTTTCTTCTTTTTATTTTCATTCATATAATCAACCATATCTAATTATAAAACGGTAAAAAGATAAAACATAAACTACAAGTGGTAAAACATTTAAAAGATAAGATAACAAATTTAATAAGTTTTATGTTTTTAATTGATTGCCATTTAGTAAATATTACAATACAAAATTAAAAATAAATACATTGGTTGCATCACTTAGGATTGGCGTCTCATGGGATGTCAATATAACAAATATAAAAGTAAGATTATATGATAGAAAAACAAATGATACATCAGTTACAACTTAATATCATTAGTGGTTTATTTTATACGTTTTTAAACACATCATTCATATTTGTTTTTTCAAGTTAAAATGAAAACTTAGCATCTATCACACGACAGACTTTGTAAGTTTTTTAAAATAAAAGTTGCATTTGGTTATAAATATTCCAATTTGAAACCAATAAAATATAATAAACTAATACAATTATATATACACTCCAAAACAATATAAACTTCTTACGTCGGTTTTATTATTCCAAACAAACCACCAGTGAAATAGATTACCAACTTCAAAATAAACTCAAAAGTGTTTATATTAAGATATGCTCCATGAACTAAAAACAAAAAGAAAAAAAATTATACTATAACACTTAACATGTTAACAATAAAAAATAAATAAAAACCTGAAATATATCTTAGTAGATCTGATCATCAACTCGAAAAATCTAAGAGAAAATTAGTAGAATCCAGATTTTTCTTCATGTATGTCGATCTGCTATTGTCTTTAGATCTGTAAGAGGAAAAGAAAACCAAATATCCATCAAACAAACAAATCAATAAGATATATACACAATCACACAAATCTATAAGAGATGCATACACATAAATCTATAACTTTTTCACCAACCACATATGGATATACAAATCTAAAGACGAAACGGATAGACGATAAAGGTGATTAAATATCGTACGTAGTGGTGGAAGCGGCTTAAGGTAGCATCGTTAGTTTAGATCAAAAGTTTTCTTGGTGATTATGGTGGTGAAATGGTGGTAGTAAGTGGTTGTGATGGAGGCTCATATGGTTGTTGATGTTTTGGATCAAAGGAGAAGAAGTAGAGTGATGGGGAGAAAGAGATGTTTGTGGTGGCTTATGTCGGAAGTTGATGGCGGTAGAAAATAGGGTTTTGGTGGGAATGGAGGCTAATGACTTTTTACCAATGTTTTAAAAACCGGTTTGAACCGGCCGGTCGAACCGGTTGGACCGGGAACCGGGGGAGGGAGCGGTTCAACTATCACCGGTTTTACGTCGATTTCTGAACCGGATTGAACCGGCCGGTTTTTAGAAAAACCCGGTTGAACCGGTCAAAATAAACCGGTTGAACCGGTTAAACCGAATAAAAACACATAAAAAATAACCATTTGCATAATAAATTTTGGTGATTTTTTTCAAATCTATTTAGTTTTCTCTAAATAAAAATATATGGTAAATGTTTTAAAGTTTTTTGATTTGTTTGTATTCATCTAAAACTATATTTTGTTTTGGTATTATAGTTTATTTATATTTTTACATATATAGATTGATGTAAAACACTAAAACTTATGGTTATGTGTTATTTTAATGTATTTAGATTGATCTAAAACTTATTTTTATGTGTATTTTTAATGTTTGAACTTGTACACGTCAAATTCATGATTTATATATGTATGTATGTGTAGGAAAATAGGAAAAATGATGAAAATTATATAAACCGGTTGACCCGGCGGTCGAACCGGTTAAACCGGTTTAACCGGAAACCGGTCACCACACCGGTTCAACTAAAAAACCGGTTTTTAAAACATTGCTTTTTACATATAATGAGGAGTATAACTTAAAGATGCGATTGGTTTTCTTGGACTTACCCATGTCAGGAATCCGTGTGAAGCATACCGTTCATGTTAATCAAGCCCGTCATTTGGATCAAATGGCCATAATTATTGATGGGGACTACAATCATAAATGTTTTATAAAGCTAATAGATTTTATTAAATACATGATTTTAATTGGTTTAAATATATTGACATGGATCACTATCCTAACCATTTAAATAAAATCTAAAGACCAAAAATTTATCTCCTTGTTTTAGACTTTAGTCTTAAAATATGTATTATCTATGTATTATTAAGTAGTATATATATATATATATATATATATATATATATATATATATATATATATATATATATGATATTAAGATCATGTAAATGAATAGTGACTTTTTGAAAATTATAAAATAATCTTTATTTTGAAAAGAGTAAATTATAAAAATGGTCATTTAGCTTTATAGTTGTCCTTACTAAATCTTTTTTTCCTGAGATGGTCTATACGGAGCAAACTTTACACACAAATGATCATTAACGTTAATGTTCGTTAGATTAATCCGTTAAGTTAAATTTTTTTTGGATAAGGACTATTTCTGCTATTTTGTGAAACTTGCTTAAGGACCATTTGTGAAACTTTACACAAGGACCATTTAAAATATTACAATTTTAGTCTCTTACTTTTTCTTTTTTACATTTTCGACCCTCTTTTTTCACAACTTTGTCATTATATATTTTTTAAATATATAAATAAATTTTCACTACTAGAATCTAGACTTTCAGCGACGGAATCAATGATGGACTAAATCCCTAGCTAAATCAGTGATGGATTTCTGATGGATCAACAACGGAAAGTATATAAAGTGATAAATAATGAAATGCAACATTTAGCGAGGGATTACCAACGATTTAGCGAGGGATTAACGACGGAAATAATCCCTCGATAATGTCTTCTGGAAAATAAAACCCTAGATCGGTCGCTATTATAATTTCCCGCTTGCTTTTTTTTTGGAAAGGGAACTTCCCTAACGAGGGTTTCCGGGCCAGCTTTCGCGCACCGACTAATTCCCCGCTGCAAACATGAGGCTTTGCCTCATGCCCTGGAGTCACTGCAGACGAACCTCCATGGCCACAAGGGCTGAGTAGTGTCAGGATTTGAACATGGGTCAATAGGTTATCCACCATATCTTCCACATGCCTTACCAAGTCACCACAACACAAGTGGTTATTGCTTTTTCAATTCCCTCTCAAGGACTATCTCCCATATTGAGTTCTAAAATTTTATTTACCCCGCATCCCGCCTCCTTAAATATTTCTTAGGTTTTCTCATTCACGAAAATGTCCCGCCTCCCAACTCTGTCTTCACACGATCGCACCTCCCACTCCCGTTTAGGGTTCAAAATTGGTGCACATACATCTGGTTTTTTTTTTTTTTTTTTTTTTTTTTTTTTTTTGGCATACACCTTTCGTTCCTCCCAACTCTTCGTCTTCACACGATCACACCTCCCACTCCCGTTTAGGGTTCAAAATTTTGTTTATATACTTAAAAGATATATAATAACAAAGTTGTGAAAAATGACGGCCGCAAATGGAAAAATAAAAAAATAAGAGACTAAAATTGTAATATTTCAAATGGTCCTTGTGTAAAATTTCACAAATGATCCTTAAGTAAGTTTCAAAAAATGACATAAATAGTCATTATCTAAAATTGTTTCAACTTAACAGACATTAACGGTAAAGACCATTTGTGTGTAAGGTTCGGTCCGTAGGGACCATCTCATGGGAAAAAGTTTTATAAGAAACACTTCAGGAAAAAACTATAAAACTAAAGGACCATTGGTGTAATTTAGTCTTTTGAAAAACTACTTCAGGTTCATGGGTCAAAAATTACAGAAACTATCCTCATCTAATGCAAATTCACAAAACTGGTCCCTCTGTACTATTTTTTAAAGAGATCGAAATGGTCCCTTTTTGTAACTTTTCCAAAATGCCACAAATAGTCCCTTTTTTGAGAAACAACTTCAAAAATGGTCCATGTGTAAAAAATTACAAAACTATATATAATCATCTTATACAAAATTACCGAAATGGTGCCTCTGTTATTTTTTAAAATTGACAAAAATGATCCCTGTTTTCAGGAAATATTTCAAAAAAAGGTCCATATGTAAAATATTGAAATAATCATTCATCTAACAAAGTAAAAGTAAAAATAACTACGTAAAAAAATGTTGCAAAAATGATGCCTATTTAATAGCGAAAGTTTTTTTTAACTGTTTTGGTTTATACTAACCTTTTATATTAATTTAAGTCGAAAATAAATGATTAATAAACAGTAGTAACCACGGAGAAATACATTGGAAGTCCGTTTGTGTACCAAATTTCCAATATCTAAAAACAACGGGCGTAAATCAAAACCAAAATAAACATAAAGAATAATTAAAAATGAATTGTTTTTCAGATAAACAGTAAACAGACGTACTGTATTTTGCCTCTTCAAAATCTATAAATACACATTTAAATCAGAAAACAAATATCACACAAAAAAACATATCCCTAAAATGATTAAATCAATCTTCTTCACCATTACTTTTGTCTTCCTTCTCTCCCTCCCCACCCTATCCCGCTCCCAACGCTGCAACAAAGATGACGAAAAAGTCCTCTTCAAAATCAAGAAATCCTTCGGAAATCCCTACCATTTGGCCTCTTGGCAGAAGACTTTAGATTGCTGTAAATGGTACAATGTGGAATGCGATGCAAACACCAGCCGTATCATCTCCCTCACCATCTTCTCCGGCAACATCTCCGGCCAAATCCCAGATGAAGTCGGCGATCTCCCCTATCTCCAAACCTTGGTGTTACGAAAACTCACTAACCTCACCGGAGAAATCCCGTCGGCCATTACTAAACTCACCCACCTCACCATGCTCAGACTTAGCTGGACTAATCTATCAGGTCCCGTCCCTTCGTTCCTTAGCAAGCTCACAAACTTAAATTTCCTCGATTTGGCATTCAATGATCTCACCGGATCTATCCCGCCGGAGCTTGCAACGCTGAAGAACTTAAACGCCATACACCTGGACAGGAATAAACTCACTGGAGTCATCCCTGAATCATTTGGGACATTCACCGGAAACGTCCCTGACCTTTACCTGTCACATAACCAGCTCACCGGAACAATACCCAAATCATTAGGCTACTTAAATTTCTCGACGATCGATTTTTCAAGAAACCAACTCACAGGTGACATAAGCATGTTTTTTGGAACAAACAAGACGATTCAAACAGCTGACTTTTCGAGGAACAGCTTCCAGTTTAACATCTCGGAGGTAGAGTTTCCTGCTAGCTTGACGTCGTTGGATCTGAATCACAACAAGATTTATGGGAGTCTTCCGGCGATGTTAACGGGATTAAATTTTCAGTACTTTAACGTGAGTTACAATAGGATGTGTGGACAGATACCTCAAGGTGGTGACTTGCAGACGTTTGAAAACACGTCGTATTTTCATAACCGGTGCTTGTGTGGATCGCCGTTGCCGGCGTGCGCCTGAAGCTAAATCGACTCCGGCCGACAAGTGTGGAGCTCTTCCATCAACCTTTTAGGTGTAATATGAATATCTTGCGAAGACAAGGGACTCAATCGCAACATAATTAAAGAGCGCCGCATTTATTGACAAGGGACCGAATCCATGTTCTCCGCGTTAAGAATTGATAGAATTCCACGATATTGCTATTTATATTTATTAATTATGTATACAACAAATAAGTGATATAGTCTGTGGCTAGTATGTGACGAACATTATCTTGTGGCTAATATACGACGAACACTATCCTACAGCAACCAGACTACAACGTACATTAAAACTCATCATTAATATAATAACTTTTTTTTTTGAATTAATGGTTATGTCGCTAATACATTTTTAAATTTAAGGGTCATCAACACCCAACCAACTCTTATATTTTTTGAGGAATGAAATGACAATTAAGCATCGTTGTAACATGAATGAAATGATATTTTAAATATTAGGTAACATGTTATAACATCATTTTTGTGTCATGTCAGATAGAGACTATATTTTCTTTATTTTTATAAAAGATTATATAGAAATTTAAATTACAAACTACCTTAAATATTTTAAGTGAACTACATAATACTTTTGGCAAAAAAAAAGTATATGTATAATTAAGATTTTCAAAGTCCATCTTAATTTGTTTTTTTTTTCGTCACTGCTCACATGCCACATGGTGTTATAACACCAATCGGGGAAATTGTCACTATGTTATAACATCTATTAATTTCTATGTCATCATTTTTTTTGAGTTATTTTTATTAAAACAAATACATTTTTATAAAACATAATATTTAACAACATAAAAAAATATAGCATTTAAATTAGACATATCATCCAAATTTATTAACAAAAAAACATTACAAGACAAAAAAAATACATAATTTATTTTTCCTAAAAACAACGCTATTTATCATCGTTACCGTCGAATATATAATCCGTTAAGTGTTCTCGAAATTGTCTGTGTTTATTTGTGTCATGAATGTCAACGACTCTATGCAAATATTATGTTGTTCCTAGTTAAAATTGATTGTGTTTGGGCTCCGTTAGGATATAGTGTGTAATATTTCGTCCTTTATCTTCTACTACCATGTTATGTATTATGATACATACATACATGATATATCGTAGAGTTTCTAAGTCTAATGGTCGTGCCGCATGTTAAACTATGTGCCACTTCGACTTTAGAACTCCAAAAACATGTTCCACATCCTTACGTGTTCATTCTTGTCTTCTCTTGAATAATTTATCTCTTTCTTCAACCGGGTGTCGGAATGCCGTCACGAATGTGGAATACGGAGGATATATTTCATCCGTAAGGTAATATCCAAACTTGAATTCGTTTCCATTCACTTTGAAATGAGCATCCAATGCCTTTCCTGACAAAATTTCATCGAATATTGACGACTGATCAAGAATGTTGATGTCGTTGTTGGAACCCGCAACCCCAGAAAATGAATGTCAAATCCATAAATCTTTGAGAAACAACAACCTCTAAAATCAACGAAGGCGGTCCATGAAAACCACTTGCATACTGCCATTTCCATGCTACTGGACAATTTTTCCATTTTCAGTGTGTGTAATAAATGCTTCCAAGCATTCCGAGAAACCCATGTCTTTCTTTATGTGCCACATGAAGTTCTTGCATATCATGCAACGAAGGTTTCTGCAAATATACATCTCCGAATGTTTCAACAACACCTTTTGAAAATCTATACAAACTTTCTCTCGCAATTCTTTTGGACATTCACATATAATCGTCCATGGTATGGGTGACTCGCCCATAGCCATTTAACGAATGGCCGCATCACATTTCTGCAATGTTGTGAATCCCCGCATACCTCTAGCATCATATCTCAATTGAAAAAAATGCAAGGTTGTAAAAGTCGCTAGGCGGTGGTCGGACGCTCGACTAGAGTTAAGAGACTAATCGGTCTAGGTAGGGATTAATGGGCGCCTAGGCGGAGACCTTTAATTGTAATAGAATTTATTTTTTAAAAATTAAGTATTAATTATATCCTAACAAAATAAGTAAATAACCATAAAACTTTGACATATTCAGTAGTCTAAACTTTAAATCATCGTGTATAATAATTTTTAGACAAATTGGGGATCTTTTTATTAGTCTTAGTCATCAATCATCATAATTTAGTCACCAAATATCATAAATTTGACTAAAAGGATTTTTTTTTGAAAATTTTGACTATCTGACTTTTTATAGGCTTAGACCGTCTAGACCGCCTACAACCGCCCATGACCATCCAGGACTGACTCTGCCTAACTCGACCGACTAGCATTAATCGTAGACGGTAGGAGGCCGCCTAGCGCTTAGGCACCGCCTTGGACGATTTTTACAACACTGAAAATATGTATTAAAAATGTATTAAATTTGTATTTATTTTGTATAAAGATATAGTAAATATGTATTAAAATTAAAGAAACGATACCAACTTTCCAAGGCATTGGCGATCTGTAGGAACACATTCCTGCTCAATCAAAATCTTCTTTTGAACTCCTTTGACCCGTATACATAATTATCCGCAAAGTAATCGCGATGTAGACGTTCGTGTCATTCCTCACGATTTCTATTTAACATCACACGGCTTGTTATTGGAGGGGTTGGGTCTGGTTGTAGTAGCCCATTGGTGCAATACTTGTACATCATAGTGATGAATATATCGTCACTGTCATCGTCGGATAAGTCGAAAGGATCCATAATTTTTTTTTGAAAAGTTTTGAAATTATAGAGATATGGAGAATGAGGGGAATTGTATGAATTGAAAATGGTGGATATTATGTATTTATAGGTAAAAAAATTAGTTAATTTTAATTTAATATTTCTTCAAACCCAAATGGCCAAAAAAATGAATAGTCAATCAAAAAACGAATAGCCAATCAAATTTCATGTTTCATCTCGTTGTCCTTATGACCGGAAGCCCCTTACCCTCCCCCCCCCACCCCTAACGAGAAAGGGGGTGGTGTAGCTAGTGTTATACCGTCGTTTTGGGAGACGTGGCGGGGATAACGCCCCTATAACGGGCCTGTACCACATCCTCTAAGCAAGTAATTGTAACATGTTAGTAGGTAAAAAACATTATAATTCCATTATTTTTTTCTCTCTCTTTACCGGAATGCTCTTCCTTTTTCCTCATCATCCTTCAATTATTTCAACAACCACCCAACAAGTCAACTAGGGCCGTCTCATTGATTTTGAGGGTACTGTGTGAAAATTAAAATTGAGTCGTAAAAAATGCACATCGCTTGCTAACTCTTGAATACTCCTTACAGGGGCGTCTCGTTGATTTTAAGTGTGAAAAAATAAAATTGGGCCCCTAAACATAATTCTTTTGAGTAAATTACGCGAATAGTCTCTATGGTTTAGGGTAATTTGCACGTTTGGTCCCTAACTTATTTTTTTAACTCGGAAGGTCCCTACTGTTTGTTTTTGTTACGCGTTTGGTCCCTGACTTAATTAAAAAGACTATTTTTCCCTTGATTTTTTAATTTATTTAAATAATCAGACCCTCAACTACACTCCCTCACCTTACCTTACATATCCCACCATTTTTCACTATTTAAATAATAGTCTTTTTAGGTAAGACAGGGACCAATCGCATAACAAAAACAAATAGTAGGGACAAACGCGTAACAAAAACAAAATTTAGGGACCTTCCGAGTTAAAAAAATAAGTTAGGGATCAAGCGTGCAAAGTACCCCAAACCATAGGGACCATTCGTGTAATTTACTCAATTTTTTTATATATAAGGAAAATTCATTAATAGTATGATAATCGATAATTGTTAGAAATACAATAAAAAATGATAATATAAAGTCTAATCTTACGTAGTTACATACATGAATCACGATACTCTCATAGCATTCTTAGAAGCAAAGTTGTACATCAACTCTTCATAATCTATACTCTCAAATACATTTTTTAAATAACATTCATTTCCAAGCCATTAAGTATTTCTTTTGACATTGTGAACGGTAAGTAGGACTTTAGCAACTTTAATTTTAAGAAACTTGTTTCTGCTGATGCAAAAATTACTAGAATAGTCAGCAAGACTCTATGTATTAATTGCATTAAGAAAACAACCGAATTTTTTCATATATTTTAAAGCATCAGTAGGGTTAATAGTTTCACTTAGTAAGAACTCATCAACCAACTTTAAATCTAGAAAAGTTCATTGGGGTCAATATCTAATCATTGACCATACTTAAGTGCGACTTCAAGACGACTACAACACAACTTAAGATCTTTGCATTCAAATTCCTTCAATTTTTTTGGAAGCAAAAAACAAAATTCTTTTAATACTAACTAGAAAGGTTACCCCCGCTACGCGGGGGCCAGAAGCTTTCAATGTTGTTTCCGAATCGATAAATATGACAGACGTAGAAAGTGCAAGGATAACAAGCCCGGGCTTTGCCCCGGACCGTTTTGTTCATGTTTTTATGAAAAAATGTAAAAGTTTTGACTGCAAGGACCAGAAGTATCAAAATGGCTAAAGAATTAAAGCGGTAGGAATTAGCAAGTTTTTAGAAAAGGGATCAAAGTTGTCGAACCGTTAAAGTTTTGTGGCCAAACTTTAAATATTAAAAGGTTCCTAACTAGAAAAGGGATCAAAGTTGTCAAACCGTTAAAGTTTTGTGGCCAAACTTTAAATATTAAAAGGTTCCTAAAAAATGTTAAAAATATCGATTATAAGGACCAAAAGTGTCAAAATGGCTAAAAAATGAGGACCAAAGTTGTCAAACCGTTAAAGTTTTGTGGCCAAACTTTAAATATTAAAAGGTTCCTAAATAGAAAAGGGATCAAAGTTGTCAAACCGATAAAGTTTTGTGGCCAAACTTTAAATATTAAAAGGTTCCTAAAAAATGTAAAAATATCAATTACAAGGACCAAAAGTGTCAAAATGGCTAAAAAATGAGGACCAAAGTTGTCAAACCGTTAAATTTGTCAAACCGTTAAAGTTTTG